GACGAAGAGTCAGAATGGCTGGCAAATATAGGTCCAAGTTCATTAGATGAATCAAACGAAGGAAAACAGCTTGACGACCAGAAAATTTCTTCATTTAATGAAGAAAATAGAAACAGTGACACAACAACGCGCCAATTCCGTTCCGCATCGCATACTTCTGTCACGCACTCCCCGTAAATAAATATCCGTGAAATTCGTCCGCATTGAAATCACAGTTTGGCTTGTTGGATAATAAATAACTTATTAGACGTTTAGTTGTGTAGTATCACTGAGTATTTTTACTCGTTATTTGTATTTTGACTCGCCCTACGGGCCCGTCAAAATACGGCACAACTCATATAAATACTCAGCGATACTACACAACAAAACGTCTAATAAGATATATTTATTGTTCTTACTTGAAGGGTGTGTAGTTAATTGCATGCTTAATTTAGTTTTGTTGTGTTGTAGATGATGAACCAGAGAAAAAGAAAGCCAAGACTGAGAATCAACCACAAGCTGCAGCAATGCCTGTAGCTGTACCCGGGGCCATACCAATGATGCCTATGATGCCTGTGCCAGGAATGCCAGTTCCGCCAGGCTTCCCTCAAATGCCCTTTGTTCAGCCGATGCCAGGTAAAGCAATCTTAGGGGATTCAGCACTTGGGAGAGAATCAGTTTAGATCAAGTAGTATCTCTTTATAACAGAATGTACCTTCAAATATACATTTTTCAAATCAAAAGAGTGGATAATTGGTGCTCAAGATTCATCTGTGAAATGTAGCAGTTATGAGTTAGTGAGCTGGTTATTTGAGTAATGATCAGTAATGAAATTACTGGGCTGCTGTTAAGGACAAAAGTGTTTACGCAAGACAGGCTGGTCATGTAACAGTTTGTCAAAAGGTTACCTTGATGGAATTTTGTTTTTCAACTGCAGGCGCACCACACATTCCATCTGTTGCATTTCCAGGTCAGCTTCCTGTTCACATGCAAATGCCAGGGTATGTTGTTACATGTCATTCTTTTGTGTAGCAGCATCATTCAGTGTATTAGTTATGCATCTTGGTCGAACACAAAAAGTCACACTGACTTGAAAATTCCAAGGAAAAACTGAAAAACATTTGTTGAATTTAAACATTTAAATCAAGGCTTTTTATTAACTGTGTGTTCAACACGGAGCTGTGGCAATGTTTGCTAACCAGTTTCTTGTATTTTCTTTCCTGAAGCATGCCAATTCCACCACATGGGATGCCCCCAAACACTGTCCCACCAACCAGCACAGCTACTGCCCCTGGTCAACCTCAACTTCAAAAAGGTCCTGTTATTGGGCCTCAGGTACCCAATACCAAACCCCTCTTTCCTGCTGCACAGGTAAGTTTCTTTTTCTTCCAACAGGGATTGTCTTCTTTCCCCTCTATAACAGTAAGTACATGAACAGAACTTGTACTAGTGCATTTGTAGAAGTAAACGCTCACAAGTTTGTATTTATGTATGAAATCAAGACCTGTGTCAAAGGAGACTTGTTTCAATCATAATCATTTGTGTGCTGAGTTACAAGTTTAAGATGTGTAAAATTCCACCTAAAACATATCTTTAGCTCGTTGGTGAAAAAAGTCTTGATAATTTTCTGTCACAGGTAGAAGTGTCAAGACTAAATTCTCCATTAGTTTTTGAAAAGAAAAAGAAATCTTCAGTTTTGTTTTTTTATTCTGACTTGAATATTCTTTGGAGTGAGATCGAAATGAAAAGCAATTTATTAAGTGAGTATAGGTAGAGTTGTGTTTAACACAATACTTCCCATTATCAGAGTTTTTACAAAGCAACCGGGATCCTAATTATTCAGCATTTCTATATTGTAGTTGCATAAAGCATGCAGCAGCAGTAGGCACGTGCAAACCACAGATAAGCTCTTCTTATTTCGCTACTGTTAAGAGTCAATCAGTTAAATTTCAAAAAGCATCATTTTGTTTTCTTCTTATGCATACTTTGAAAAGTGATGTAAGAATTTCAACAGGAAGTACACCATTTTAACATCATATTTTCATTAATTTGTTGATCAGTAGCTGTTTTAATTTTCACCCTTGAATGGTTCTTTTCTGCCCAATGCCCAAGCATTGTCCTTTTTTTTTTCCCGTGACCTGTATCTTGCACACTCTCTACCAGTGAACTAGTTGGCAAGGGTCGTTCTCATACAATTTAATATGGCTCTCTTGAAAGCTTTTGGGAAACAATACTCTTAATTTTTTCTCTGACAAGAATGTAAATGGAGCTGCAAAATCCAGTGCTTCATCTGGCCCTGTGGGTGCTGACTTCAAACCACTACAATCAACAGCAACAGCCACAAGTTATCAAAGCCCACCAGTCACATCAACTGGTTAGTGTTTCAGTGTCATTTTTTTCTTATTACTGAGAAGCATTTCATAGTGGGCTGGTGGAAACTCTGGGTATGGACTTAGCCTGTTCTTGCAGCTGTCCAATGTAACCAATTTAAAGGAACTTTGTTAGTTTAACCCTGTAACTCCCAAGATGCAATTGTTAATTCTTCCTTCTATCTACTACACATTTTCTTGTCAATTAGTCACAAGAACATAGTCTTAGATCACGATAACAACTTCTACCCGATAAGTTTAAACATTCTCATTACTTGTTGGCTGGATAATGTATGGGTACTAAATGGGAGAAGTTACAAGTTAATCACTTCTGGGAGTTTGAGGGTTAAATTAAGTTATGACCTTAATTACCAAGGCTCAACAAGTTTACTCTTCAGGTAAACCAGTTGTTCCACCTCCTTCTTCCGCTCCTGTTGTTTCCAAGCCTGCCACCATAGTTGCACCAGGAGCAACAAGCCGGTTGGTTCATCCTGATGAAGATATTTCACTGGTAGGAGAAGAAACTTATAAAAAAAATGCTTTCCATTGTTGTTCTTGGTTAGCCTGCCTTTTGATAACTACCTGTCCTCTTTAGGAGGAAGATATCAAATTCTGTTGCATAAATTAGTAAATTAGGAGGGCAGCAGCTAGTAAACTTCACCAGTTTGTTTCCAGATGGTGTTGATTATCTGTAAACCTTGATACCATGCACCACCTACTCTAAAACTGAAACAGTGAGTAATTGAGAGGAATTTAACTGAACCTGTTTCAACTTTCCTGTCACAGGAAGAACGACGGGCATCACTTCCTAAATATGCACCAAAGACACCCAGTCTCCCATCATCTAACCCTGTTACCATGGTTAGTGCCCCTCCTTTACAGATGCAGGCACCTGGAAGTCATCCAACCGTCTCTCCAATGCCTCTGATGGCCACCATGCAACAACCCCCAATTTCCATGTCATCAGCACCTACAGGGCCACCACAAGGAGGGCCAGCTCAGGGAGGACCTATGCATGGAGGGCCAGGAGGACCCATTCCCAGGGGCCCTGGAATGGGCCCACCTGGAATGCGGCCACCTGGATTTCCACCTCACATGCCAGGACTGCCACCACACCAACAAGGAATGCCACCTGGGATGCCACCAAGACTTGGTCCACCTGGCAACTTCTCAGGACCACCATCCCTCATGGGAGCACCTCCAGGCCCTGGGGGACCTCCTCATGGACCTCCCCCAAGAGGAGGACCAGGACTTCTCGGGCCACACCCTGGCGGTAGGCCACCTATGAGATTACCTATGGGTGCACCTAGACGATTTTAAGATTGTAAGATTAATTCAACTAAGTTTATCAGAAATGCCAGATGAATGTTTTATCTGAAGGATAGCCACATAGCATATCAAACTACTTGTTGTCTACTATATTTCCATTCAGTTATTCATCTTCTAACCCCATGCTTATGTTGGCAAGGCTCAGATTTTGTCTTTTGTATTAAGTATTACACAAGGTAATTGAAATGCAATTATTTCACTTGAATTGGTCTTTGATATTCTAGAGTGGTCACAAGGTGAGTCTATTTTTACGTAAGTAAATTCTAATAGATTTCTCAAGTAGCTTATTGAACATCCATACGCAGTCAGAAATTATAGGAAACAGCAGTAAAATCTGCAGGAAAGGAACAGGTGTTTATGTTTCCAACACTAACATACATATACCTGTGTTTAACTGAGCAATTATATCTTCACTTTTAGTGTTTTCCCTTTTCATCTGGCATTTCTGTCATTATTATGTGCAATAAAATATTTTGATATGAAACATTTCCTGTAATAATCCAACTTATTATCTTTTTGTAGCGTAGATATGATGAAATGTTTGTTTATTTACCTTATTAATTAAACTTTGCTCTCAGATTCTTTTTGAAAAGGTAGGTACAAAGGATTTAAAAATGTAATTTAAATTTTCATTTCTCTCTTGTTGCTTTTTCTTCTTGTCTCATCAATGGGTAGGTTAGCAGCATGATTTAATTCCAGTTGAAGAAAAGAAAACTATTGTACTTAAATCAAATCATATGCTTATGTGCAAATAAGTTGTGGTTACAAAAAAAAATTAATAAATCTCCAGCTTCGGTTTTTTTTTTTAGTTTGATCCAAATATTCATTAAAGTGTAATTAAATGAGTGCGTCTCTTAAGAGCTCAGCAAAAGTTTGGAAGGTAGTAAGGTAGGTGGGTTTTGCAGATTCTGTCTTACTACAATTGCTCTTACGAGCAGAGCGTGACATGTAAGTTAAAAATAGAACGTTGTTTTGTAAACTTTGAGTTTGATTTAGTGTTGTCCATTGTTTAATTTGTATTTTGGATATGCCAGTGATCTCTTGAAAGCCTCAGAAGTTGCAAGACCCCTTCCTGTCCTACTGCATCCCCAACTCAAATTCCATTGATTTGTTCGTTCTTAAAAGAAATGTCTTAATTTGTCAGGTAGATAACAAACTCGTTGGGGTGCAAAACAAGTAAATCAGCTGGAGTTTCCAATAGATCACATGACATCTTTTCATCTTAGCAGCTAAGTTCATTTCCTATACAAAGTGATAAAGTGATTTGTTACATGATTAAGAATTATTACCAAAGTGCACTCTGCAAGGTAGGGTTCGTGATTTAGTATAGTTCATGTGCACTTTGTTTACTCTGGCAGAAAATTTCAACCATTTTCAAATTATTGGTGGAAAGGTAGGGCCATGTTTTTCAGGTTTGGCATTCTTGAAGTTTTTCACTTTAGATTAGAACTAAGTTATTAAAATAAAAGAACGAAAAGGTTACTGGATGTTTCTTTGATTACTTCTGTATTTGTACCAATTTTTTCCCCTAAGTATCCCTCACACGGAGAAATAATGGAATAGGTAGAGGGGTGGCAAGCTACCGCATAAACCGGACTATTTTGAATTTTATCCTGAATTTTAGGTATTACACGTCGATTCACACCAAGTTTATCTTCCTAGGGATAACGTGTTTTCAATTCAAACAGTGTTCTTGATGTGAACAGCATTTAAGGACTGCCACTAGAGAATGACGTCGTTCACAAATTCTCACAATTCAATTCATTTTACTTGACTTCATCTAATTACATTTCTTTCAATCTATTTGATTACTCTCGAGCATTTGCACGGGGAATCCTTCTTTTTTTCTCACCAACTCACTGATTCCATATAATATTTTGTTTATGATTTGTGAAAAGGAAAATTATTCCCAGCAGATACCATGGAAGTATTAGAATCTGCAACTGTTGTTATTTGTCTAATTGAAGCGAAATTTCCAGCCTTCTCACTTGGCTAAAAGGCGACAGTGGAAAAAAAAAAAAAATAATAATAACCAGCGTGCTGCGGAAGAGCTCCATCTTTTTCTCTCTTCCCAAACCTTAACTTTCTCACTCCTGCTTTTTCGACAGTCTCCGGTCAGTTAAGCAAAAAAAAAAAAATTTGTATTTCTCAGTCACTGGAAATAACAAAAGTCCACATGTATATCATATGTTATCCTCTCGCTGGTTAAGTCAGTGTGACGTGTTATCTATTGTGGAAGTACACGGTCACTGGGTCTTCATGCTGACACAAAAACAAAACATCTCTGAACTTATCGATCAGTGTCAACAGTTGAGATCTTGTCAAACTCTCGTAATACATTACTTCTTCCAAGTGATGGTTTCCGCGAAAGTAGGGAGTCAGTCTGTGTTAAGAGATAACAGCTAAACGTCAGTGAACAATTGCCACTTAGAAGCACATATTAATGGTCAATTCTTAATCAGCAATTTATTGGGTGTACAAAGTAAGCAGGGATTGCTTTGGATTAACTTCACTGCCTTCTGTGAATACTCTACAAAAACTCGCGCCATGTCAATTGCGAAAACCAAAACCAATCACGACTTTTAGCTTTTCAGTTTAAAGTCTCCCCAGTTCGTAGGGATATCTTCATTTGTTCCAATTGTCTGTTGTTAATATGGTTTTGGTCTCGCGGAACTCCATCAAAAGGGTCTCAGTGGCGGACCCGACTCCCCCCCCCTCGGGTTTCAGTAAGAACAGAAATCAGCGATGGCGGGTGTCATTCCACTCAATACTTTTTTTGTATCTGTTCCGTCTCCAAGTAGCATTAAGGCCGCCATGTTGAGGGAGTGTTTGCAGGGCGCTAGCTAATAATTGTACCACTTGTTCTTCTCTCAAATAATTTGGTTATATCAACAAAGGTGAAATGGTAAATTGGCCACCGTAACGATTACAAAAGCTGATGTTTGTAATCGTTACGGTGGCCAATTTACCATTTCAACTTGTTGATATATCCAAATTATTTCGTTACCCCTACCGACGCAGCCCCAAACAGTTTCTTTAGAAACGATTAGCCTTCTCTCAAATAGTTTATTTTACTCTCCTTACACCGAGGGGCGATGAGACTCAAATTTTGCTATTAACGTTCAACGCTAAGGAATCAGGCTGAAGTCTTCCTTTCTTCAGAGCGCAAGAGAGCCATCCTCAATCTTCTAAGGTAATCCTTTTTCGTGACTCGCGCAGTTTGCGCTAACCTCGCCTTTTGGCTTATGCAGAGCGTTAATTGTCAGTCAGTCTGTCACAATTATCACGCAAATGTTGTCAAACACGGATTCGAGACTCGCCTGGTAAATAGCTTTAGGTCATCTGCATCACGTGCCGCAGCAACTTGAAGCACGCTTTTCTTCTCGGAGTGTGACAGACCCTTCAGTTGCCCTCCTAATTCTGAATGCTCTTCATTTTCAACGGGCTCCTGTTGGTCAGCGTCAAAGGACGATAGGCCATCCGGGGTATTGTTTCCAAATATCCAGTGAACCCTTCGTCCCCCAAGACCCAGGCCTCCCCTTTGGCCGTTACACCTCTTCTCGGACTGAACATTCGGTATCAGGAACACGTAGGTGTGCAACTAAAGAAAATAGAGATGAAGAGCCTACCTCAATAGAACGATTGAGTGAGGCGCAAAATTTGCATACTATTTGCAAGTGTTCACGAGTCTTTCCTGTAAATCTGGTTAAACTTTTGTATTTGCTATTGCTATGTAGTTGAATAATTTCGGTTTGATCAACTGAGTTGATAATGCAAATTGGACACCGTAAAGAGTTTCAAAGCTGACGTTTCGAGCGTTGGTCCTTGGTCAGAGCGAATGGCGAAGGGCTAACGTTCGAAACGTCAGCTTTGAAACTCCTTACGATGGTCAATTAACATTATCAACTCAGTTGATAAAACTTAAACTACCTTGCTACTTCCACCGACGCAGCACCACAGTTTCTTTAGAAACTGACCCCCTTTATTCTATGTATTTTGAGTCGCAGTGGTCTCGACCATTCAGGAAGAGACGAATAACACCGTTTATGGCCACGGACTTTACTTCAAATTTTTCTACAGATTATGAGGAAAATCTCGAGCTTTGATGCGGTGGACCAGCTTCAAGGACTTGACGAAATGCATGCAGTGGGACCTTAAGCAGTAGTAGTAGTAGTAAAACTTTATTAAAAGTGTCAAGAGCCGTCTAGCTAGGGAAAAATCCCTTACTTATTTTGGGACACTAAAAGTGAAAAAAGACTAGGAGCTATTTACAGTAGTATATGTATTATAACTAAGAGAAAATCTATAGTTAACTAGTGACGGGATTTGTAATAAAAATATATAAAACTAGGCTACAGCGCGTGCAACCATCATCCAAGAGCTCACTTATACTGAGTTGGCGTATCTTGCCTTTGAACGACTTGAGGGTCACGACCTCCCGCGCGGGAAAACACGTTTGATCGGTTGAGCTGCAGGTTTGCGCGAACTTTCTCCACCAGTTTCAGTGTGCAGTAAAACAAAACCAGTGTAATCGCGGTCTGCGTTCCACTCTCAAATTAAGATCACTCTAAAATACTTGGATAGCCCTCTCTGTGTTATTTAACTTTATATTATCCACGAAATTAATACCTGTATTAAAAGCCTTCGTTGTAACATCCACGCAACCATTTGGGCCTGTTCTTCCTGAAATAATCAGCAAGGAATAAAAACTACTTCAGCCTGACGTGATAGACCAGCAGGCCCGTAACCAGGATTTTATGTGGGGGGAGTGCTAACGAGGCAAAAGTGGACCAAACAACCGAAATGTATTTTTTATTGTCTGATCCGTTTATTTAGGAAAGTAGCAATACATAAGAAATTGTAACGGCAAAGTACACGGTAGAAACTGAATACTACATTTGTCGAATACAACTGTTTGAATTAAGTTACAAAAGACTAATTTTACGATGTAAAATGATACATCAAAATACTGCGGAACTTATCCCTCAGAATAGTCCCGAGCTCCAGTCTCCGTGGGTGTTTGGTGGCAAACAGATTTACCACCTCATCCAAAACAATTTTAACTTGATAACGTATGTGCATTAGTGCGAGGAACGACAGCCTTTCCTGGCCCATGCGTGCCCTCTCCTATATGTATGCAGCCGCCTTAATGAACTCGCACTTCTTTCACATTCACAGCTCGTTGCAGGAATTGTGGCGAATATCTTGAGGAGCGCATATATATTTGGAAAGAGATCATCATCGCACTCCTTAAGAATGGCTTCTGAAACACATTTAACGATGTGCCTATTTCTGATAATATTCTTCCGCTTTTCGTCATCTATTCGCTTGTTCACGTTTAGCTCTG